GAATTCACTGTGCAACCTGGAAATCGGAATTATGGTTTTAAATTGTTGTGTTTTTGGGTGCAACAACAGAAAAAGCAGACATAGAGAGTTTATAAATACAAGATCTACAGAACTTTGAAAAAATTCGTAACACGGATGGGATTTTTCACAGCACTTCTAGCTTCCCACACACATTTTGCATACGCACAATGGTCTACGTAATTTTTTTAGTAGCAAAACTTGTTACAAGAAATTTGTTTTACTCAGAACATATTTTTTCACTTTATCTAATTAATGTTCTCAAAACATGCTTTCAATAATTAGCTTTATGTCGCCAGCAGAGGTAAAAAAAAAAGGACGGACTGGCTTTTAAAAGAGATTTAGCTCCAGCTATAAACTTTTAAAAATCCGTAGAAACCATTGACTGGGATTTAAAAAAAATATTGGGCTAGTATTTATTAAAGAATTTTCTTTAAAGAAATTTCTAGAATAATATAGAACTTATGTGTATAAATGTTTGAAAAAATACTCATCTGTTAAGACGAATTGATACATCTAAGTCCTTGTGCAAAAGTAGGAGAATCTAGATCTTGATCTAGATGTTCGATAGTTCAGTAGCCTAGATATTTGATAATAAGTTGCGCAACAAATTTTTGACCGCACGCTACAGTAGTAGAGACAGAATATTATTTTCATCCGAAACATTAATTTCTGCATCCATACACCTTTTTGGGCCTTTATAAGCACATGTATTCCTACTTCAATTATATTACTTTCATAATTGTTTTCGAAAGCATTTTCAATTCCTTTCACTTTCACTTCCTACGCGCGGGCACATATAATTATGATTACAATTTAAGATTCCAGATCTGACGAATGTATTTATTGAATAGCGTATAATGCTGGGTTAGCCAACGCATTGCAATACGCGCTATTATCAATTATTGAATTGTAACAGGACTTCAATTTGATCCGTAACAAGAGACCACTTATTTTTTTTTATACGTGTTCATGAACGTGTGTTTGTTTACTGTGTGCCTGGATTAAAAATTATAGATTAAAGATTCCAGATCTGACGAATGTATTTATAAAATAGCGTAATAGTGCTGGGTTAGCCGATGCCTTGGGATACGCGCTTTTATCAATTAATTGAATTGTAATAGGACTTCAATTAAAGATTCCAGATCTGACGAATGTATTTATTAAATACAAATGTGTAGCATAGGCCTATAGGGCAGGTTTGGCCAATGCATTGCGATACGCGCTCTTATCAATTAATCGAATTGTAACAGGACTTCAATTTGATCCGTAACAAGAGACCACTTATTTTTTTTTATACGTGTTCATGAACGTGTGTTTGTTTACTGTGTGCGGGGATTAAAAATTATAGATTAAAGATTCCAGATCTGACGAATGTATTTATAAAATAGCGTAATAGTGCTGGGTTAGCCGATGCCTTGGGATACGCGCTTTTATCAATTAATTGAATTGTAATAGGACTTCAATTAAAGATTCCAGATCTGACGAATGTATTTATTAAATACAAATGTGTAGCATAGGCCTATAGGGCAGGTTTGGCCAATGCATTGCGATACGCGCTCTTATCAATTAATCGAATTGTAACAGGACTTCAATTTGATCCGTAACAAGAGACCACTTATTTTTTCTTTACACGTGTTCAAAAATGTGTGCGTTTACTGTGTGCGGGGATTACAGGGGGGGGGGGGGGCAAGCCCATCCCCTCGACATGTGGACCAGGGTATAGGGGATACATTTTTCTCAAAATGCACACTGCTCGGAAATCCTTGACCAGTGATCACTCGCCATAAAACTCTTTCTGTTGTGACTGTAGACACAAGTTTCTTCATTATCACATCTGAATGAGCCTATCATTCATGCATTAGAAACCACACTCTCAACACACACAAAAATGACTTTGAACATAAATTCAGGAAACATATGCCAGTTCCACTCTTGTTTACTTTGTTTTGCATTATTGGCGTTTATGTGTAAAACAATATTTGAGGCCTTTTCTGCATTTTTGTGTTTTTGGCAGCATGTATAACAGGCCTATGTATTTTATGTGCAACCGACACATTCTCCAATCTCTTGTATTTGTTAGACTCGCACATGCTTTAAACAAAGCATATTATGTTGTACACACTATATTTCTCTGATGCAAACACAGAGATGAATTTCTTAAAGTGAGAAATACATGTAATACATTTCCTCAATATAAGCTCAATTTACTGATCTCTGTCTAGTAAATTGGAGAAAAGGCTTTTATTGTTCTTTTTTGCTTGCTGTGGATCCGATGGCCTTAAGTTTAATGACAATGTAATTGTAGAGAGGAGAGAGCATGTTACTGTCAGCGTCCCCTTTATCGTAGTACTAATCAAGACTATATCTAGATATTTTGCCAACAAAATTAATGTTCGTAATTAGTGTCATTATCAAGTGTATTGTGAGTGTGAAGATCTTAAGTAGATCTAGATCTAGATCCTATACCATCAATAAAAAAAACAACCAAACCAACAACACAAAAACATTGTAACATTGCCAATTATGACATACTGTTGGCAATAAAATGTATTAGACTATTTCACTGTATTTCCTCTTCGAAGAAACTTTTAAAATACTGATGTAAGGTGTCTTTTAAGCCCTACCACTAGCATCAGCGTGCATAGCAACGCGGAGCCTCGCTGTGCGGCGCAGCCAAAGCTGCCCTCAACAGGCCGCCAGGTTTTAGTTTCAATTCCTCACAGCGAATCGGCGATCGCGAAGAGAGAGTTCCGCTTCTATAAGTGTAGAATTCTGTGAGTAGGGTCTACCAGGGTGAGGAAGGGGGG